CAGGGACAGGGACAGGAGAGGGATCAGGAGTGGGGACGGGGTCAGGAGTTCCTCGGTACCCCCGGGAGATGAAGGGCCAGGTGGGCTGGGGGCTCACAGGATCCCCAGAGGCAGAGCGGGGAGCTGGCCGCAGCCCTGGCAGAGCGGGGTTGAGGTGCTGCTGGGTGACCGACTCTAATTAATTACGGGAATTAAGAGCCGCGCTGAGATGCCGGGAGGAGGCGGCTTCAGCCGCAGGGCAGCAGTGACTGTGATACCCACGAGGCTGCACCCACATCCCTCCACTGCCCCCATCTCCCTGTGCCCAGCCAGTTCCAGTGCTCGATCCCTTTCGGGGTCCCTCCAGGCCGTGGGTGGGCGGTGGCTGGCACACGATGCCAGGGGGTGTCACCCCAGGCGCCCAGCGCGGGTGCTGCTGCGGGGCTCCGCGGCCCCCGGGATGGGTTCCGGGGCACCGCGGCGCCCCCGGCACCGGCGGTGAATTCCGAGACCATCCCAGCCCCGCCGACACTGGGCTGGAAGGGAGCGCTGCGCCGCACAGCCGCTGCTCGCTCGCTCGCTCTCTCGCGGGGATTAAGACCAGACCTTTGTGGGAGAAAAGGGGCGGGAGAGCCCAGATTATCCCGAACCTGCCTAATGCAGCGTTCCGTGGCTAGTCCGGAGCGCCTGGCAGACGTCTCCGCGGTGGGAGGCAGCGGGGTGGTGGGTGGGTGCTGGGATGCTCTGGCCACGCCACTTTTGGGGTCTGGAGTGCTGGGACACGGCGCTGTGAGGTCCGGAGGGTTCTCATGTCACCGGAGCTCCGGTCCCCGAGCCCGGTGTGACAGCGCTGGGTGGGCAGCGCCGGGCACGGGGCTGGCTCAGCTGGGGATGACGCTTCCCTCCGTCGGAAGGAAATGGTGACGGAGCTGGGCAGCGAGGCACTGCGGAGATGCTGGGGTTGGCACCCAGGGCACAGCCTCTGCCCCCAGCCCGGCTGTCCGGCACCATCCTGCTCACGCCTGTGTCTCCATCCCGGGCTGTGCTGCTTCCTCCAGTGCCGTTTTCATAGCCCGTTTTATTGGCAAATTTTATTTTCCTTGCTCTCCATACAGAGAAGCTGAGGCCAGAGGCAAAGCCCCGGGCCCTCAGTTGAGGAGGGGTCCTCAACAGTGGGTTTTTGGTAGGTGAGGAAGAGGAGGAGGGTTTGCCCAGCCCCCAGCGGCATCTCGACCCACTCACATGAGACAAAGTAGGTCCTGGAAGGCTGGTGGGACCCGGTGCCGCTGCTCGCCTCACCTGCCGCTGTCACGGGAGCGTGGAGATGGCTGAGACAGCGCAGTCGGGAGGGATTAACATCACCCGGCTGGTGGGAGCCGCCGGGAAGGCTCCCGCGGGCTGGCCTGGCTCCGGCTGGGAAGAAAGGCACTCACTCAACTTGAAAAACTGCCTGGGAGAGACGGGCCCCCTCCCCTTCCGTGCCGCGCAGAGCCCCGCGGCTGCAGCCGGCCCCGGGCAGGCGAGCCCGGGCTGCTGGGCGGCTCGGGATCGCTCCCGCCCTTCCTCAGCCATCGCCGGCTCCTTTTGCTGCTTCTCAGCAGCTTTTGAAAGCAGAGAAGGAAAAAAGAAAAGGCTTGAAAAGCACTTTGAAAAGCAGGGCAGGAGAAGCGCCCGGGTTCCCGGCAGCCCCATCCCCTCCTCCTGCTGCCGGCGCTGCCAGCTTTGTCTGCCGGCGCTGCCGAGCCAGCGGGGAGCTGCCCCTGAGCCCCGGTGCTGGGATCGCTGTCCGGACACCCCAGGGTGCCAGAGCAAAGCACTGTCCCCACAGCCCCTCCCAAATCCCTCCAGCCCCGGGGCCCAGCGCCCGCTGCTCCAGAAACGCCCCCAGTAACCGCACAGACACCCCCAGAGCCGGGGGGCTCAGCCCTTCCCCACAGCGTTCAGCCAGGGCTCAGCAGTTACCAGAGAGCCCTGGCACGATGCTCTGCCCCTCCCTGCTGGCACCTTGGCCAGGTGGGCACCGGCACAAGGCGGGTGCCGTGGGCAGGTTCTCTGTGCAGCCTCTCACCTTTCCCAGCTGGAACCCTCTCCAGGCTGGCAGTGCCAGGATGGGCTCCTCCAGCCCGCTGCCCCCCCAGGAAGCCATCCCCTGGCTGGGCTGCAGCCACCCCGGCCTCTCCCAGAGCAGCTGCTTTTCCAGCCTGGAACTCGGTGATATTTAAGGTCCCTTCCAACCCAAACCATTCCATGATCCCACCTGGAGCGTGGCTTCTGCAGCACCCATGGAAAACCCCTGCCCTGGCACAGGGACCCCTCCGGGGGGGTGCCCCGGGCACCCACGGCGTGGGACAGGGCAGGGGGCACAGACCTGGCTCTGTCCTCTCCGCCGCTCTCCTCTCCTGCCACCCTGGCACGGAGCAGTGCCCCGGGCACCGGGGCTCTGAGGATGCGCCGAGTCTCGTCTGGCCCCCGGCCTGGCAGGAGGGGCTGTCCCTGTCCCCAAGGCAGGGAAAGGTGGGGACATGACACACTTGGCTCTGTCCCAGGAGCTGGCAGGGAACCGGAGATATCTGGAGGACGGGGAGAGCCCAGGCTGCGGGGCTGCTTCTAAAATAAATACATTCCAAGAAATCACAGATTTCAGCCTAGCTTTATCGGTCACAACCCTCATTTTTGGCACATCAGCATCTCCCCGTCACGCTGGAGAAGGGAACAGCTCCTGCTCCAACGCTGCTCCACCAACCCCTGATCATCCGGGGCTGCCTCATCTCCCTGTGCCCCCCTTTGGCTCTGCCCTTGGGAAAAGCGCAAACAGGGAGCGGCGCCCGGAGAAACGTCAGGAACGGTTTGGTCCTGGGGAGCGATCGGCACTGACAGCTCACCCCGCCTGACCGCGGCACAGCGCGGCCTGGAGAGGAACGGGAACGGGGCCGGGAACGGGAACGGGGGTGGGAACGGGAACGGGAGTGGGAATGGGAGTAGGAATGGGATTGGGAACGGGAACAGGAATGAGAACAGGAGCAGGAATGGGACTGGGAACGGGAATGGGAATGAGAACAGGAGCGGGAACGGGAGTGGGAACGGGAGCAGGAATGGGAATGGGAACGGGAGCGGGAACGGAAACGGGGACGGGAATGGGAATTGGAATGGGGATGGGAACGGGAACAGGAATGGGAGCGGACACAGGAATGGGAACGGGAACGGGAATAGGAATGGGAATGGGAATGGGGATGGGAACAGGAATGGGAAAGGGAATGGGAATGGGAACGGAATCGGAAATGGGAACAGGAACGGGAATGGGGATGGGAACGGGAATGGGAATGGGATGGGAATGGGAATGGGAGCTGGAATGGGAGCGGGATTGGGAGTGGGAATGAGAACGGGAATGGGAGCAGGAACAGGAATGGAAATGGGAATGGGAACTGGAATGGGAACGGGAATGGGAACGGGAATGGGAATGGGATGGGAATGGGAACAGGCAGCCCCCACCCACCTGGAACCACAGGGATGGTGGGAAGGGAATCTGGAAAAGAGCTGGTTGGAAGCGGAGGTGGGAGAGAAGCGGCCGGGCTCAGCGCCTTCCCCTGCGAGCCTGGCCGCTTCCACTTCCTCTGTTCCGTGGGGAAACTGAGGCAGCAGAGCCGAGCAAGAGCTCTCACCAGTGCCGCTGGCACCCAGCCCATCCCTGCCGTGCCCACAGCACCTCCTGCCGTGGTGGGGGGTGGGATGTGCCCCCTGCCCCGGGCGCTGCATCCCTCAGCCGTGGGAAGCCGCGGGCTCAGAGGGCTCCTCCCGCCCCCGCCACCGTGGCTGCCACGGGGCCCTGGCACCCCGGCCACAGCCACGGCAGCACCTCCCGGCATGGCCAGCACCGAACCTGCCCTGGCACCCCGGCCACAGCCACGGCAGCACCTCCCGGCATGGCCAGCACCAAACCTGCCCTGGCACCCCGGCCACAGCCACGGCAGCACCTCCCGGCATGGCCCCAGCGCCCAACCTGCCCTGGCACCCCGGCCACAGCCACGGCAGCACCTCCCGGCACGGTGCCAGCACCGAACCTGCCGCGGGTGTGGCTGCGCCCTCGGGCACCTCCTGGCACCAGCTGGGTCAGGGCAGGTGAGCCGCCGGGCTGGGCTTTGTCCCGGCGCTGGGGAGCACAGGCAGGTCCCTCAGGGATGGATCCAGGGCCTGCCTGCCCTGTCCCGGGATGGGAGATGTGTCAGGGGAGCTCTGTGCTGGCTGCTCGTGGGGCTGGCACAGTCCTCACACCCAGCGACCAGCCGCGGTGCCAGGAGCATCTCTAGCCCAGGGAATGCCCCTTGCAGGGCTGGCACCCCTTGCACAAGGAGTGTTCCTTGCACTGGCAGCTCACCTGTGCTGCTGACTCCCCGGACCTGCCCCGCCCCGTGTCTCGGGTGGGAGGAAAGTCCCTCTTGCACAAGCCGGGACGCCCGGGGCTGGAGCTGGGCTGCACACCAGGAGCAGGATTTGCCCAGCCAGGCGCAGAACCCCCTCTGTGCCACGTCACTGTCCCCACGAGTGGGGTGCCAGGGCTCCCCGTACTGCCCAGGAGGGACGGGCACCCCTGGGGGCTGCGCTGCCTCGGGCTCCGAGCGGGTCAGAGGAGTCACCCCCCAGCAGTGCCAGCTGCTCTGGGGACACCGTGAGCTGCTGCGGGGACAGACGGTGACCGTGGCTCGGCAGCAAGGCCAGCACCGCAGCCCAGCTCTCCCAGTCCAGGGAGGAGCCGCAGCACTGGGTCCCCAAATGCAGCACCAAAGGCTCTCCTGGCAGCCCCTTGCCCACGGCAGGGTGAGGGTCCCAGCATGTGGTTCCAGGGGCTCCCGGGTGCTGTGACAGGGACTGTGCAGCCCCCACAGCCCTGGCAGCCCCTGGCATGGACCTGGTGCTTCACCAGCACCGTCAGTGCCAAGCCCTCCCCACCCCCAGCCCCCGCTGGTGACAGCTGGTGAAACCTGGACGCATCACCTGGATTTTCCTGCCAGGCCTGAAGGGCAGAGCCAGAGAGGGCGGCTGTGAACAGCCCAGGAGACATCCCCAGTGCCAGGGCTGCTGCTGGCAGTGCCCAGAGCACGCTGCAGCGGGGTCTCCTGTCCCCTCACCCCACTTCCCTGCAGCTCCAGACCCCACTGGGATGGGAGCACGCAGGACACGGTCCCACAGCTCCCTGCACCCGTCTGGGCTCTATCCAGCACCTCTGGCAGCCCTTGCCCAGCTCCTTCCTGGTGCCATAGGGCTGCCACGGGCCCAGTGGGACAGCAGGACTCACGGACACTTGGCACTGGGCCTTTCTCTGGCAGAGCAAGGTGACAGAGAGGGGACACACTTGTCCTCAGGCTGTTTATTGGCATCTCCCTCGGCCGAGCCCGGGCGCTGCAGCCCTGCCGGGCTGGTGCTGGCTCACCCATAGGCACCGCGGGGGCTGCGCTGTGCAGACACCCCCAAAACAGCCACGGAGCCCCCCGAGCATCAGCACCCCCCAAAACCCCATGAAAAAGTCCCAAAGCACCAGAAATGCCAAGGGGAGGCTCCGATGGCCTCATGTGAGTCCTCAGCAGAGCCCCGAGGTGCAGGATCGGGGGGGAGCACCACGTGCACCCCAGCAGGGCTCTCCTGGGGTGCCAGTCCTGCCTTCTCCCGGGGGCTGTGCTGGGCCAGGCACAAGGGAGGGCAGGAATGGATCATCCCCTGGGATCCTTTCCCCTTCTCCCAAAGGCTGTGGGGGTCCCGAGTGGGGGGGTCAAGTCCAGAGGGTTTAAGATCAGCAGAGCTCCTCTCGCCCTCTGCAGCTGGGGGTCTCTGTGTCACCGCTTGTCCCCATGTCCTGGGGGAGCCACGAGTGGAGGGGCCGGGGTTTGGCACGGCAGGAGCCCCTCAGCCAGCCCCAGCACCCGCTGGAGTCCAGCAGCAGGTCCGGGGCAGCCGCCGTGGGTGCCAAGGGCGATGGGGGCGCACCCCGAGTCCCCTGCCCGACCTCGTCCGAGGAGTCTGTGGCACAGAAGCTTTGGCCGAGGAGGGGAGCTGGGTTTGCTCCCCAGCCCCAGGGACGGCGCTTGGCATCCAGCAGAAAACCCCTGGAGCCTGGGGCTGCTCCCCTTCCTCCTCCTCCTCCTCTCCCCTCACTGCTTTTTCCTTTTCTCTTAATTCCTTGGGGCTTTTCTTTAGTTCTTTTTTTTTCTTCTTTTTTCCTAATTTCCCCCCTTTCTTCTGTTTGTTTGGATTTTTTTTGCCTTTTTTGTTTTTTTCTTCTTCTGTTTAAATATCAAACGAAGGAGGAAAACCCAGCGATGGGGGCTCTGGAGCCGGGGGCCAGGCTGCTGGGCGGGCGGTACAGGGTCCCGGGCTGGCTGCTGGGGGCGTTGCCGGGGGTCTGGGGGGTGGGAGTCCTGCTGGCTTTGGGGCGGAACAGGCTGCCCTGCTGCGTGGAGGTGCTGTTGGAGAGGGGCGTGTGGTCGGGCTCGCCCGAGTCGCTCTCGGTGTAGCTGTAGGCCTGTGCCCGGGAGATGCCCTTCTGCTGCCGCCGCCAGGAGTTGTAGTAGGTGGGGTCGCTGATGTAGTGGTTGACGAAGGAATGCGCCTTCTGGTGCCCGGGGTCCACCTCGTACTCGCTGTCACTGCCCTGAAAAACAGCACGGGCAAACGTGGTGGCGTGGGGACAGCACCCAACAGCCCCAAAATTCAGCAGGGACGGGCTCCGCTCCCAGCCACGGCATGAGAGCGAACCAAGCTGTGCCAGGCGAGCTTGGGATACCAGGGGGAATTTCCACGTGGAAAGGGTGGCCTGGCATTGGAAGGGGCTGCCCAGGGAGGTTTGGAGTGCCCAAGGAAGGGCTGGACGTGGCGCTCAGTGCTCTGGGCTGGGGACAAGCTGGGGACCAGGCACAGCCTGGACTCGGTGAGCTCAGAGATCTTTTCCAGCCCGAATTGTGATTTCCAGCGCTTCCCTGGTGCTTTCCCAGCGCTCTTTTGGGAACGCCGGCCAGCACATCCCAAAAGTATTCAAAGGCTGGGACGGCTGCGGCATCACTGGGGGGTTTCTGCCTCTTGCTGAAACAAAATAAAGCCTCGTACAAAAGGTTCCTGAGCGCTGCCGAGGCCGCGATGCCCCCGGGCTGGCGGGGAGGGTGTTTTTGGGCTCTGCCGGTAATTGGATTCAGCTTCTCCGGCGGCGCACAAAGGGCCCATTGAGGGCGGTGGGAACTGCCCCGCGCCAGCGCCAGCTCCCGCAGCTCTTCACAGCTCCTCAAAAGCCACTCGAGCCCCGCTCGGGCCGCAGCGAGAGGAGCCGGCATCTGCCAAGGAAACAGCCGGTGCGGGCAGAGACGGGGGGGTACCCTGGGCACGGTCCCCTCCTGCTCGGGGACAGCCCTAGGGACCCTTCCCTGGGTGTCAGCCTCTCAGGGTCCATCCTGCGCTGACAGTCCCGTGGTCTGCCCGGGGCTCCGCGCTCCTGCCCGGCCACAGCTGCCCGTGGCCCCGGGACGAGACAAAGGTGGCATTTTGTGGAGCTGGCAGAGCCGCGGGCGTTGCCACCAGCGACCGGGCAGCGGGACAGCCCCCAGCCCCGCTGACCTCCCGTCCCCTGTGCCCTGTCCCCAGCAGCCCTGGGAGCCCCCCGCCGTGTCACATCCCCGGCACACGGGCCGGGGCTGTGCCAGCTTCCCTCCGGCGCTGTGCCACCGAGCCCCGGGGATGGGGCGGGAGCAGCAGCGCGGCTCCCAACCGCGCACCGGGACCCGCCTGGCGGCGGGCAGGGGAGCGGGCTGATGCTCAGGGAGGGCTCCCGGTGCCCTCCACCCCGCCCCAGGTCCCTGTCCCCGTGAGCAGCCCCGGGGGTCACCTGGGAGTCGGAGACCTCGGAGGGTTTCTCGGTCAGGCTGCTGCTCTCGGCGGGGATC